TATTTTCATACATACACATATATACATATATAGCTATATATATGTGTATCTGTATGTGTGTGTGTGTGTGTGTGTGTGTGTGTGTGTGTGTGTGTGTGTGTGTGAAACATGTATATTCTAGCGCGTATCATCCTCAGTCGGAGGGCGCGGTGGAAAGATTTTACCAAAGCCTTAAAAATATGTTGCGAACGTACTGTTTCAAAAGTGAGCGTGAGTGGGACGAGGGCGTACTATTGCTTCTTTTCGCGGTGAGAGAAAGTGTACAGGAATCGTTAAGTTTCAGCCCGTTTGAGTTGATTTATGGTCACTGGTCCGTGGTCCTATGAAAGCATTACAAGAAAGTTTGCTAGTTCCTAAAGAACATAGTAACCTTATGAGATTGTTGAGAGAATCAGTGAAGTGGACTATGTATTAGCCAATTAACACTGGAATGGAAGCGGTGCTTCCAAGTGTATGTGCGCACGCTCCTCTCACAAATCGAGACCTCCACTGCCGATCGGGATTTCAATCGACAGGTTTAATCTCAATGATTAAAGATAAAATAAATTTGCATACATATGATCTTTATATAAGAAACATTGAATTATGATTTTTTGAATTGAAATTTGTTTTTAAATACAGGAATAAGAATTCTTTTGAAGAGAAGATACTACAAACATTGATGATTTACAGTGATACATGGGATGTGCATGTTGAGAGAATCAGAGAGTTTTTAAGCGTTTAAAAACAGCTAATTTGACAGTTAATCTTGCAAAAAGTGAGCTTGCATGTGCATAAGTAGTGTTTTTGGGACACGTCGTTGGTGTGGTAAATTGAAAGCAGTACATGCTAAAACAGAACTTCCCAGCCCCAACGGATAAGAAGTTAATGAGATTCTTGGAAATGACAGATTACTATAGAAGATTTTGTAAGAATTTCTCTTCGTTAGTGGCACCCCTGAAAGTCTTCTGCGAAGAATGTGACATATCAGTGGTCAAAAGAGTGTAGGATGCGTTCAGTCATGTGACGATGATGTTGACTGGTGAGCTGGTGTTGATAGCCCAATATTTCTTTAAACCATTTTCTCTTATGATATATGCTAGTGACATCGGATCTGGTGCAGTACTTATGCAGATGGATGATGGTGAAATTGAAACACCAGTCTGCTTCTTCTCAAAGAAATTTGATAAACTGTTACTAAACGGTGGAAAAGTAAACCCTAGCATTGGTGCCTTACAGCACATTGAGATGTACTTGGGAGCAGCTTCTCACAAGATTAAGATATGGACAGACCACAATACGTTAACGTTTCTTGAGGAGATGAAAAACAAGTACATGCGGTTACTCAGATGGAGCTTGGCATCGCAGGAGTGGAATTTAGATATCTGCCGTATAAGTGGAAAAGATAATGTAGTGGCTGACGCTTTGTCAAGGATTTAGTTTAATACAGTTGTTAATCCGTTAAAAATATATAATCAGTTAAGAATATAAAAAGTAACATTGACGATGTTTGCTTTGAAAAGTTCTACAGATAAAAACATCATATTTTATATTATTGAGAGTGTTCTCCTCAATGAGATCGAGCCTTTAATGGGAGGGTGTGATGAGGCTGCACCTTATATTTTGAAAATGCGGAGTTCTGAATAAAGACAGATTGAAAAAAAAAACATCGTTGGAATCTACCCTACTTTAAAATCAAACTTTGTGCCACAACTTAACGAACGTAACAAAAGGTAATACATTCTTTGTATCCAATCGATATCGATATTGTATGTTATCGATCACGATGTTTTTCAATTGTTGGTTTAAAATTGATATGATACTTTATATATCCAAGTCTAATCATAGAGAAAGCTCTGATTTGCATTTTTAGTCGGAAGGCATTATATGAAATTATGCAATAAATTTAAAAAAAAATTCCCGAATGTAAAACAGCACATTTTTCTAGGGCTTTTGGAATCAATACCCCCAACGTCATGATATTATGAATGTACGGCTATGCATACATTTTGAAATACCAAGCATATAAAACAATATTAAATAGTTTGGGACTTTCATAGACTATCAAAGTCTCAACAACTGATATTTCATAACTTGTCCATTTACACTTACAACTTTCGAAGTCTTGTTAGATCACTGAAGGCACCTGTTGTTACACCATATATCTCGTTATTATACAAATCCCTTAAAAGCAAGCACAAGAGAAAAATTACCGATATATCAATGAGTGTATAGTAATTTGTTTTCCGGTAATTGCCAATATAACATGCAGAATACTACATTAGAAATGTATCGTTGTAGTAAAGCATTCCGCCTGCTAATTCCATGGTGCTGTGTTTTATTCGTAACACCAGGCTTTTGATAAGAAAACGCCTCCACTCTTAATCTACAATGTAAGAGGCCTATGTGTATAGCCTAATTAAATTTTGTAATATCGGTTGACTCATAGGATAGAGAAATATTGTATTTTCTTATAGGTACTTTAATCCTAAATAAAATATATATGAGGTTTCAAGTATAGTTCTTCATTGGGTCATTTTGTTCTTTCAGACTGATATTATGATTTGATATATTGTCTCAGGTTGCTTTTCGTTATCGACGTTTTGACATAAACAATGACATATCAGACAATGCATATCCATTGTCAAAAAGCTGATATTTAACTTGTGGATTGCCACTTACAACGATTGAAGGCCTTGACATTACAAAGCATTGTGGCGGAAAGATAATATTTTTGTGGTTTTTTTTTTTTCTTTTTTTTTTTTCTTTTTTCTTATGAATTGAACGGAAGATTAACAACTTATTTATTTATTTTTTAACATGGCCTTATATTAAAAAAAAACAAAAAAACAAAAAAACCCAGGAATCTAGGTGACTGTGTGAACAATGCCACCTGGTCAAAACAGCTAAAAACCTAATGTAATTATCGATAGTAAAGTCATTATTTTCCCCTCAAATAAGCTGAAATATGGAATTATATTCACTTCTACAGATGGAGACTTTTATGATCTACTTGTTGTAATGGTTTTTCAAGCAAGTAGGTTACGAATCCCAAACGTTATCTGACGTAATGTTACAACACAACACTATGCTCGTAGGGTTTAAAATAAACATAATTATAATATAGATGCTACATGCTCGTTAATGTGTGCTGCCAACTTTGTAAATGGTTCGCAATATCCTGATCCGAGTCCTTTAAGAATCACTTGATTGCAGTGACGGAGCTGATTTACGATCTCTGTTGCATTAGAAATGTTAGTTGTTGTAGACAAGAAAACGTTGGACATTATTTGACTATAGTTGATTCAAAAAGTTGAGAACAAAGTTATACATTCTTGGTATAAAATCGATTTGCATGAAACTGATAATCGGTATGATTTCCATAATCTGTAAATTACACTTGTCATGTGATCAATCATAATAATTATCAAATATATTATATTAGTTATCGATAACTGATGTCGTGTATCGTCAATAAAAAGTGAATTTTGGGAGTGGTTTGTAATCGATTGATATGTAAAAACATAACTTAATTAATGTTCAAGAATAGATTATTAGAGATTATTATAGGATTGTCACAACACTTCAAGACTTTTCAAACCATTGAAGACACCTTTGTTAAGATCTTTTAATTTGTTACTACGCAGATTCCTTTAAAAAATAAATGAGAATAAACAATACGATTATTAATATTTAAAAAAAAAACATAAACTATTTTAAAACACAAAAATAGAGTTTAGCGTACCGTGGCCGGACGTTTCACCGATAGACATTTGAGTGACAGACATTTGGCCGACAGACAATTGACCAAAATACCATTTCGCCGAATGCTAGTTTGCCGATAGTATGTTTCGCTGACAGCCAATTTGCCGATAGACAGTTCGCCGACATTTTTTTGTGAGCATGTTAATGGAAGGATGTGTCACAAGTGACATATTTAGACGTTTAATTTTTATTTGGTTATTTAATTTCACTGCTAACGAACAGAATCTCTATTAAATCAAGGTTGTTTGTAAGTTATATCTTTCTTTCGGTGTAATGCTCAGTCCGTATTAAAGGAAAAAATCTTTATCAAAATATTCGACATCTTACATTGTCTTTTATAATAAAAGACAATTTATGATTATGGCATGCTTTTGCAGTAAACTGTCGCTTTATTTTTGTTTTATTTCACATAATAAATGCTTATTACCTACAACCTTACAACTAGAGAGTTAATTGCCGAAAGTCAAAACAAAGCCCTCCCCCAACAGAAGAACGTTTTAGTAGTATTTATTTCACGTATATATATATATATTTTTCGTGCACCGTCCGTATTTTAATATGACTTATTCAATAGTTATTTTAATACAATACTGTGCCACTGCGTTACATAATTATTATTTTTAATGAACAATTATTTTGTTAATTGTATGTTCATGTATTTTTATGCACATTTCTTATATTATATTTTAATTTGTAATTTTCTGTATCTATTTGTATAGTAACTTAATCAATTTGCATTTTTATTAATTCAATTTGTATATATCTAACTTAGTTAATTCTTTATTTATTGAATTGTATATACTAATTTATTTATTTATTTGCCTAATTTGTACCGTACATTGAAATTGTAATTCAGTTAGTGCTGCTTTTTAAAAATTTTATATGTGAATGAATAAAAGATACCGGACAACATATTGTACTGTGCCCTCTCACTTGTATATTTTAACTTAATTGTATATTTGTAATACGTCAAATCTGGTGTATTTTTAACATTTTTAATATTATTACTTAAAAATATATTGTACATTTAAATGTTCACCTTAAATTTGCAATGAATTCACCTTAGTGTCTTGTCTTTTATTTTATTCATTTGTACCAATTAAAACAAATCTCCGAAATGATTTCAAAATTACTGAAAGAAGTACGTCCGTCCTACACGGCTAACGGAAGTGTAATGAATCCGCGGCGACTGCACGTGTTCTCATGTTAGCCTTAAGATGCGTCACTGCTGATTAGGTAGAATACTTGATCAACTCTTTTCTGGATAATTTTTGCTTGGGTGACACCATTATTTTTAAATGCTTGTATTTTCTTCTTTATTATCTCCATTACAATCTTATTTATCCATAGCTTAAAATTGCCATACACTTTTACTTTCTTAATTGGGATCACATTATCAGTAAAAAAAAATAATATTAGCATTAACGGTTTCTGTCAATTCATCCACATTATCAGAGTTATCTTTAAACATATTCCAGTCCGTCGTTTCAAACTCAAATTGAAGCTGTTCAATTGCTTCTTTAGACCACTGTTTTACTGTAAAGAATTTGGTTTTTGACGCAGAACCTTTGGACGGTACTTCGGTTGCAGATGCACAAGTTATGGTTTGATAAACCGAGGTTTGGTAACTGTCGTGACAGGACATCCTTTATGTTTGAGTAGCTAAGGTAAAGTGTAGCTTCATCCCGTTGTGCTGCGCTTAATGTGTTGGTAGAAGTAAATATTGCTTCTATACAAAGTACAGTGGTTGAAGTCTCCGCTAACGACGATAAAAGCGTCAGGATTCGCAATTTCTATCTCACTAATAATACTACTCAATCCTGCTCTAGCTTCATTTGCATGTCTCCTGTCTGGTGGTGTTTACACCGCTACCATAATTACATGCGAAAATCCCCTAGGAATAATAGTATAGACGTATACAACACCAAAATATAAACATGAGGCAGGCAAATAAACTTATTTTTATGTTATTTGGATGACAGTAGTTCAATAAGGTATACTTTAATGTCCCCTCCACTCTTCCCTGATGATGCAGTCCTATCGCCTCGAAATAACCGGAATCCATTAATCTCAAAATGTTGATCACTCTTATTCTCCAATAACCAGGTCACTGTGTAACACATGATACTGGCAGTTCTAAATTCATGAAAGTACATTCCATTAGCTCTTAGTTCGTCCATTTTATTGCACATCGAGTGTTTTTCATTATCATACTTGGTAAATAAGGTCTGAATTTCCTAGTATGAAGCCGTTTCTCAACATCACCGGCTTTACCCCGTTTTCGACGCAGGTATCTCTTGTGGTATTTGTATTTGCATACACGCACTTGGTCCTTGCTTTCAACTCATCCGCCATATAGCATTGCCTACCACCAGGCCTAACTTTGTACGTAGTCCAAAAATAATACGAGTATGAAAAATAAGAAAACTACCTATTATTCACCAACATGTCGGAATCATTCAGGACGATCAATACAGAAATAATTCACTAAATATCACTAATTTTTACCAGAGCACTTAAGGCAAGCCAAGTGTGCGCATTTTTCCGTATGAACAGCGATATTACGACTTCGGTGGTCAAGCATTTTACTAATATTTTCTTAAATCCTCTAAAAGATGTTTACAATGTATGAGTTCTAAATAATGATTTAACTGATACTGTATTTCCTGTTTACAAACCTTAGCCTTTGTACTTAAATTAAAATTACATTACATCTATAACAACTGCTATTAACGTTCATCCATTCATTAAAAAGGGGAAAATATTTTTAATTATGGCAAACCGATGACATTGTCATCATAATCGCTACGGTTATTAATATTTGTAATGTTATTGTTAGATTGAAGTAACTCATTATATTATCCATATGATCACCAACAAAAACTATATTCGGAATGAGAATGTCTAGGGTATTTGTTAACTAAACTCTAGTTTTGCAAGCGGGGAAGCTCATAACAGAATGAGGACGAACAAAAATTTAGTTCTGTAGATTAATCAATAGTTTTAGAAAACAGCATGCTTTTTAATATTTGTTGAATTTATCAACGATTGTTTGACGACAATTATTGTTGTCATTGATGAAATTCCACTTTCCACATAATGGCCGACATAGTAAACAATGTTAAATGCTTCACGACTTTCTTTGAGTGTTAGGAAACTGTCATTCAGAACTGATAACATCACTTACAACGATCGAAGACTTGTCAAACCATTTAAGGTACCTTGATTTAGATGTGTTATTGCGTTACCAGACAAATCCCTTCAAGACATAAGGAGAATAAGCAATTATGCAAATTATACTGCGTCTTGTGATTCTTTTGGATGCACTAGTGTTAAAATATATCTCGGTGGTTAAGACATTTTATTGCCAATAACCTTTGTTTTTTAATTTGTTTTAAATTTTTTTTTGTATGAATTTTTTTTGAATACATATATCTGAATAATAATGACAAAAGGTGAAAATAAATGGAAATACTAAAAAAACCATCATAATGTATAAACAAGTGGTCACTTTGATTATGATATGATAGTTTGGACTTTTTTTTCTTTGTACAGACAGTCTATAAGTATGTAATTATCGTAAAAAGTACATAAAACGGCAGGCTAATGTCATAGATATCATATGACATGCATTACAACGTTAATAAAGGATAATGTAATAATGTTGACTATACGCGACATTCTATAAGTATATTTAGACGTTCTAACAATTTGGAATACATTTTTCTTCATTGTGTTACATTTTTTATTTACAAAACGTCATTTGCAACAATTGAATACTTATGAAACCCTTAAAGACACCTTAATTTAGATCAGTTATTGGTTATCAAACAAATCCCATTTTTAAGCAAATTACACGAGGTGGTTTGATTTGGATACCCCACGGTGGAGCTGTATCTCTTTCTTTGAAATGCTTTGAGTGTTAGGTAATACCAGTTATGATTATTATTTTTTATTTTGTTATATTCATTACTATTGTCATTGTCATTTTATTAATCTGAACTCACATTTAATCTATATAATAGTATTCATAGATAATTACTCTTTCTCCCACGCTAATTCCACTAATTAGATGTTTCCACTCATTGATTTTTTTTTAATTGCATGCTGTAATTTAGGTCATTGAGCTTTACATTTATTAAAATACATTGTCATATCAGTAGTAAATTAAGGCAATTTTAATTTATTTATAATTGTGCTATTTTCATTATTACAAGTTTTTTTTATATATATATTTATTGTCCGCAAACGAATTATTTCAATTATATAAATTCGATATCAGTATAGAGTAGTTGTTATTTGTAGAGGTAACTTACAGCTCCTTCATCAAGGTCTGATTCAGGAATGTACCTGGTAGAATATCTTGAATTTCATTGTTCGAAAAGTTTCTGAAATATAATTTATGCATATAATATTATTATAAAATGCTATTGCTATTGTTACTATTGCTAGGCCTACTGCTGATGCATTCAACGGTTGTTGTTAACAAATTGTTATCGTCCATTCCCGTTGCTAGCACTTTGTCGTTGTTGTAAACTCTTGTCTTCGTATTGGTTGACTTTTGTGTTGTTATCAATGAGTGATTTTACTGTCACTGAAGACGATTACGTTTTTATCTACGATATTATTGCTGCTGTTTTCGACGACTACTCAGTTATTGCTATAAAAATGTCATACTAGTGAACGTTTGTTTGTTACAGACGATTGAAAGTGTTGTTATCACAAATGACTAAGATAGTTTCTATTGTTGTCGATGGGTTTTTTTTTTGTGACAATTTGATCACTAGTATTAATCGACGATTGTTGTAATTATAGATGACGGTTGTTATCGTCGCTGTCGTCGATTTTTCTTGTAGTTGTCAAAGAATACTGTCTAATAGTTTAACTCTTTGGATTAACATACGCTGTTAGGAGTAGTGGGAAATCCATTATGATATGCAGAACTTTTAATCCATCTTCGGACATTCGCTGAGATGATTCAGGCACACGAATATTGACCAGTTTTCTATTAAAGAAATGTAAAAGAAAATGTTACACCATCCAGGTCGTAACTACAGACCCTAGGCCTATACGCTGTCTCTTATACACATCTAGATTAATTGACTGTTTACAAACTGTCTCTTATACACATCTAGATGTGTATAAGAGACAGATATTAGTAGGTCTATGTGACTAAGCAGAGATTTTCCCTCGATAGTAGCAATTAAGACCGAAATTTGAAACTTTACTTGTAAGTATTTACGAATTTCAGCAAAATATGTGTTTGACGTATTTACCTTTTTCACATATAGTTAGGGCAATATTACTACAATTCACATTATTCAACGAGCCTGTTGGATATATTTCAGTGCAATCTTCATCGTTACTGTGACCGTTAGGTTTTACGATAGACAAGTCTAATATCAAAACAAAAATGCATTAACTTATTTATACAGCTATTTATTTAGAAACAGTATTGCCATTAATTTGAATTTGTTACAGAAATCAATATATAATAATTACTGTATTAACGTACACAGTTAATCTATAAAAAAACAAAAAACAATATATTATTCTTAACTGCATTTCTGTATGAAGAAGGATTTATTATAGATATACCAAAAAAGACGTTCTATTGGTCATCCCCATTCATTAATCATAATCACGTATATACAGCTGTATTGATTCGGACAGTCTATAGTAATTATACCCAGCTAACAATATTACGTTATAAGAATGTTATATTAATGAAATACCGACTATCGAAAAAAGTTTAAACTAAATTCTGTAGATATTGAGCATTGGCAATTCCGCGCTAAGGGGTGCAGTCAATGCAGAATGTGGGAGAGTCCCTCTTTCAGTTTATTGTTTAAAAAGTTCTTTGCGGTAATTTTTACCTTTACTTAAAGCCCCATTCCCGTCAAAATTTCACTAAAACATATTTTTTTTAAAGAAAAGATGCATGCATTACTTTAATTATTAAAAATCATGGAAAAATATTGGCATAAATGTTAGTTTATACACAACACAATATATATTTCGAGATCGTCGTAATTTATTATAACGAATTCTTATAACGTTCCTTTATATATTGCTCAGCTACAGTATATACAATTAAAACAGAAATACCTTTCTTAACCATGGAGGTATAAAAATATATTTATACCTCCATGACTTAACTACTGTTTGGCTTCTTGGAGGTCACTCATGCAATACTATTTGTCTTGCTGGCGAATCATGGGAATTCCCGATGGACCCGAGTAGAGGCCTAGGGCGATATTTTCATTTACTATGAACCATTGTAACCCCGTTAGATTCAATTGGGGGCAACTAATTTTGATAAGAATTATACCAGCCGATATTACATGAGAACCCCGGTATTGGAATGGGAAGATGTTGGGGATGGTTGGGTGGCAAAGTAAAAATATGTCCAATGCTAGCAAGTGCTAAAACATCAATGGTGACGAAATTATACGTTAACCTAGACTGAGGTATACTCTTGTAATTAGATCTCGTATTCTCTATAATGATTGGGTACACTTAGCATTAGCAAAAACGTTGACTCCTGTACTTAATTTATTAGCCCGGTACCGTACTTGAATTAAACAGGTTCTTGTTTGACCACTGCATAGGGCAATGACTTTCGGGTCGCCTATAGGATTTCTTAGTACAGTACATTCCTGTAGCGATAAAGTATTGCGGTGATCCTGCCCATCGATCATTAGTTTATTTATTAAGATTTAGTACCTAACATCAATTCCTGTTCCTAAAGTATACTGAGGTTATTGTTGTGTATAAACTATAATTTAACTACTCAAATTTGCTTTTTACGCAAAAGAATAAAAAAAAAGAGAAATACAGACTATATCTCATAGAATATTACCATTTTCTCGACGGATTCGTCGTTACTAGGCAAATTTAGAGGTTGTAGATCGCATCCGCTGGAATACTCTCGCATTTATGTATACTTTATACAGTCAAAAAGTGCGCCCTCTCTAATGGGATTAGTTTTTGTACTTCGCATCTAGCACAATTCGGTTGTTCGAGAAGGCCTGAGTATGTTTGTTTAAGTGTTAAAATCTCAGTCAGAATTAGTTTTTTAACAAATTCGATATAATTCCTATGAAATATTATATTTCACAAGTATCAATACCAGCAACGGACAATATCATGTCGGCCAATTTTTTATGTGATAACATAACCTAAATCGAGGTAAGGCTAGGCCTAGCCTAGCAGTGTTGGATAGGCTAATGTTTTCGGCGCCTACTATATTTCTTCGCAGACCTGTCGCAAAATCAAACATGAAAAATTCATCCGCATTTATTTTTTTGTGTGGAACACAAAACATTAAATTTCAGTCTTAATTTGCGTTTTTTTATGCTTAGGAATGTTTAAATTCAGTTAAACTAGCAATTCCGTATTATATTTATAAATCTTTATAACATTATACAAAAATTAGATTTTAATTAGAATGCAGACAATTGTAGCTTTATTTCTAAATGTTATCATTTTCAGCTTAGAAAAACAAATTAAAATGGTAAATGTTGGGCTTATTATATCAAACACATTTTATGTTCTACTGGATTTGGGGATTTGGTACGCACAGAATGCTACTAATCATGACGAATTTATTTCCGAATTTACTTTACGTTTAACCGACATTGAACGTCATCGACTCCAAGAAAAAATTGCTTCACATCCAAAGCTTTAATACTAGGCCTATATTACATTTAAAAACAACTATAATGTTGATACCTATTTATTAGATCTTGAAAACTTCAAATATAGACGGATTCTGACTAAACTTCGTCTAGGTATCTTCGAACTTGAAATTGAAACTGGTAGATGGATCAAATGAGATCGAAATAATTAAAGAATGAAAATTTTACTCCTAAAATTTAGATGAAGATGAATGCCATTTTACCTTGATTTGCCCATTTTATTCATATATTAGAAACACTTTCATACCTACATAATTTAGTACAAGTCGAAATTCAAATTCAGTCGTTTAATATCCACCAGTGCTCCCAATATTATCAATGATTTATCTAAATTTTTATAGTTATCATTTAAACTTAGAAACGATCATATCGCTCTTTAAATTCATGTCAACATATATTTATATGGGCCAGAGGCCATTGTGTAAAAAAACCCAAATAAATGTCCTTTGTCCCTGTGCCAAGGAACGAACAATATTAATGTTACAGTTTTGTGTTAACAACTTTAGTTTGTAGAATCATAAAAATACGCAGTTAGAACTTAATTTCATACCTACATAACTTTTAAACGTTCCTGCAACCTTGTGTGAACGTTATTATTATTATTATTATTATTATTATTATTATTATTATTATTATTATTATTATTATTATTATTATTATTATTATGACATGCCGAACTGCAACGTTCGGTAAGTTATAAGATTTTCTGTACTATACAATGCGTTGTTTATTGCTTTCTTACTTGTTCAGCTACAGGTTAATAATTATTATTCTTGATATTTTTACCATGTAAGGATATTATGTTTTTTTATTAGTAATTTCAGTAGATGTATTTAAATTCGCATCATGTTTTTAATTGACTGTTTACAAATGAAGAATTCTGCAAAAGGGATAACCATTTTTTTCCAACAATGATTTAAACTCAAGTCGTATACGTGGTTTACAGATGCTGTAACTATCTAGACCAAGTTAAAGGTTCACTGGATCAAAGATGATTGAACATTATACAAACATTTTATTTTTTATTTTTAACCATATTTAATGAGGGTGATCCATCCAGCAGAGGCTAATCATTAGGGAACCTCAACATGTAACAAAGCAAATTACGGAAAACATCTCAACTTTCAATTTAAATTAGAATTATAATACCACAGACATTACAACTTAAAATTACAATAACTAAAAATACAATATGCAGATTATTGCAGCAGTCATAAGAATTAAGTAAAAAAATTAAATATAATCAGGTATTAATAATTAAAAACAATGAAAAGGAGATAATGACATAAAAGATAATAAAAACAAGTTTAATCTAAGAAGTAACAAAATAATAAATATTGTGAAAAAAGCAAAAGTAACAGTATAAATGTAACAGGCAAAAACAAAAAAACGAAGACTAAGCAAAATATTAGCCTTTCAAGAACTCCAAGGGTCGGATTTTGAAAGAAAAATATAAGGTGAATTGTGAATAGATAAAGGAAGCGCGTTATAGAGATGTGGGGCTTTGTAACTGAAGGATAGTTTAAAGATTTCAAGTGTAGGTTTGGGAACAAGAAGATTTCCATTAGTTATTTGGTGTGTGGTCATTCTGTTATGAGCTTTGATTTTGGTCAAGCGGTGGCATAGTTTGTGGGGAGCGAGAGTTAGCTGAGTTGTTGGGAAGGCAACCTAATTTGTAGTCAAGTCTTTTATGTAAAGGAAGGGTACGGGCAAGTTTAAAAATGGTCTGCAGGAAGGTGGATGATAAATAGAAGTTTAAGGACTATACGTAAAACTCTGTATAGTGTGAGCCCCAGACAGAGCAGCAATAATCAAAGCGGGTGAGAAATAAAGCATTATAAAGAACAATGAGAGTAGATTGGTTAACAATGTTAGAGGTGCGTGCAAGAAGAAATACAATATAGTTAAGTTTTTTTACAAAGAGTAGAAGTGTGTGAATTCCATGTTAGGGTGTTGTCAATGGTAACTCCAAGATGTTTATGAGAGGTAACAAAGACAATAGGATGGTTATCGAAGGTAAGTTTAAGGGTGTTAGAAATTGTTTTGAGCTTTTCTACAAGACCAATTAGCATTGATTTAGTTTAAGCCATAGAGAAAGGCGGTTAAGGGGTAGGTTAAGTTTTTGCTCGAGTAGTGGTAATGTGGTGTTACTGTAATAGATGATGGTATCATCAGCATACATTTCAGTGTGTATAATAAAATATAATAAAATCAATGTTAGTAATAAAAGATGGAAGATCATTAATATATAAAGAAAACAATAGTGGTCCTAAAGTAGAACCTTGAGGAACTCCAGCTAGTACGGTGTAGGTGTCAGATAAAACGTGAACATAAAGGACTTGTTGAGTGCGAGAGGTTAAGTAAGATTTGAACCAAGAAGTGGTTAAGGCTGAGAAACCGTAAAAGGAAAGTTAAGACAGCGGAATTGCATGATTAACGGTGTCAAAAGCTTTCCTAAGATCTATAAAGATCGAGCCAGTCAATTTTCTTTGTTTATTTGTTAAAAGCAAGTTGTCATAAAAGTTAGTAAGTGTGGTTAGTGTATACATGTAGAATGTTTAGGTCGAAGGCCAAAATGAGAGAAGCAGATGAGCTTATTATAATTGAGGTGAGTGTAGAGCTGTAAAGATACAGTTTTTTCAATGATTTTATAAGATGTAGGGAGAATAGAGATAGGACGGTAATTATTAATAAGCTTTTATTTTTTTCCCCGATTTATAGACATGTGTGACCTTAGAGTGCTTCCAGATGAATGGAAAGATGCCAGAATTGAGGGATAGATTGAAGATAAAGGTAAGGTGGGGTGATATTAGGGGAGCAGCAAGTTTCAGGAGTCTGCTATTAGTGTTATCTAAACCAGAAGACTTATGGGGATTTAAAGTAATAAGCTCTTGGAAAACCAAATCATTACTAATATTTTCAAAAGAAAAATTATGGGCGCAAGGAGTAAGATATGACAATGGATCAACGTAAGAGTGCAAAGATAAGTTAGCCTGCATTAACAAAGCACGTGTTAAAGAAGTTAGCAATAGTTTTAGGATCCGAAATGTCAGTTACATTAATAGAGAAGGAAGGTGATAAAATATTAGAATATTTAGTAAGAACAAGATCATTAAGACCTTTCCGGATCTGTTTAGTATTTACCTTTGTTGTTAGTAACATGGGACTTATAGTAATCAGTTTTAGCATTTCTACAAATAGTTGTTTGTATAATTTACGATAGTTCGCAAAGTCCTTAGCGTCCTTAGTTTTTTTCTTTCTTTTTTTTTGTTAGCTTTTTTCTTTAATTTGTCTCTCTGATGAAAACGAAAAAAAAAAAAACATCATGTCTCCAATAACTATATAGGTAAGTTGTATTCAAATCTTCTGGTTACATACGTGCGTTCTTATCACAAATACCGTTGAAGATATTAGTCCAAATGGTAAAAGCTTCTTCTGTGGTGTTTGAATTATAACGTTCAGATTAATCCTGGTGTTCTATATCCTAAAAAACGTTATATTGTTAAAATACTTGAAGGATCTGAAGGTCTTCAGGATATTTATAAGATATTTCGTAGATACATGAACACTTTTTGGCACAGGAATTTGTAGAAAAGGTGGGGTGTAACGATGACGCAACACTACGTGTGGGGACAAAGGGGAAGGGGAACCGTAATTGGGTCAGGAGAACCGTAACTGGACTAGGAGACGTGAGGGAACCCTCAATATTATCGGTCTTTCACAATGTACGGATTGAAGGCGATAATTCAATCGATTTCAAAATCTCATAATTCGAAATATTACATAGGCCTAAAGTAGTGTCGGCGATGCATTTGGCCCTTTCGTAAACACACAATGCCAACCCTGAGCCACCGTACCCAAATTCATCAGTTTCTACGCGTGCACTAACAATTTGCGTCGTAAGCGAATGAACTTGTGAAAACAAACTCAATTGATTTCTGTATTTCCTCCATAGGCAGCAAGTGTACAGATCACACACTAAATTTTGAATCTCAATGAGTGTAGTACATTTATTTTCTTTTACTATGACAAGGCAAATCCCAAATAATACATTTTTAAAATCTTAAAACACAATTTAGCACAAATGTAAACTAAATCAAAAGTCCTGAGTATTTGCCATGAGAATATGGAAAATGGCAGCGCTGTTCCATTTTACGATTTAGTGCAATGTTATAACAGTACATAGGGCCAGCCTAAGCATCTTACTTGAAGTGTAACAGGGCCTATGTTATGACCACAAAAATTGCTATGCTAGCCTACGTTTTTAATTTTATTACCACTGGGCGGGACTCTAGCAGTCAAAAAATCAAATACCGTATTACACTGTCTAGCTAGGCCCTGAGGTCGTGCGTAGTCGTAATCTTTTGAAGTTTTTTGTTTTTCTTTTAAACTTTGTGTTTCCTGTTGTAAAATATCACGACAATAATATTCGCATATTTTGTAGAACTCTCTAAACGGTGGTTCGGATTTGGCACGGCGGATTTACCAAAGTGTCAAATGTATGGCCGATAATTTTCAATTGTGTCAATGAAATGACAATTTTTAAAAGAAGAGTTTCTTACTAACCTTATAACAGTCACTCTTCTAAATTCTAAAACTACTGCCTCGTTCAACATACTAAAGTAAAATGTGAACTTATTCAATCATAACCCGGGCCCTTCATCAAGCATGTCTTAATGTACAGATAGTATCTAAGGACTGTTAAGAAAGTTTACAAATAATAATAATAATAATAATAACAATAATAATAATAATAATAATAATAGTAATAATAATAATAATAATAATAATAATAATATTAATAATAATAATAATAATAATAATAATAATAATAATAATAATAATAATAATAATAATAATAATAATAATAATAATAATAATAATAATGTACACAATGACTGGAATGTGAATTGAAGGCTACACCGATTTTGGGCACGTGATCTTACGAACACGTGACGGATCGTAGATCTTTGGCAGTTTGTGTCGGCCCACGTCTCGGTTTAGCGTTGGTTTGTTCACACGGATATGAATTGCCTCTTTGACACCTCTTTCAAAGTGTCTTGGTTCCCTGTCAAGAAAGTTGACCTGTGCCAGGTCCACATGATGTCCAGGTGATTCAATGTGTATATGTTGAAAGATTTCCGATGAAGTTGAACTCGGTCTACAATGTTCCAAGAAACGTGTTTTCAGAGTTCTTTCTGATTCCCCAATGTAAGAATCCTTACATTTGCCGGAAGTAGTTTTGCCTTGGCATGGGATGTGGTAGATGGCGCCTGTGATGTCTTTCTTTTGGCTCTTGTCCTTTGGTGATACTAACAACTGTTATAAGGTGCATGTGGGTTTAAAGCACGTTGTGATGCCAAATGTTTCGAAGGCTCCCTTTATATATATGGGATAACGGCCAATCCTTTATTAGTTGTCTTATGCCTTTGGCAGTCATTCTTGTCCTTATGTCTCCTAGTTGATCGATTGATAGGCCAGTTTGGATAACCAAATCTATTCAGAGCTTGATCGATGTGTAAGCATTCATGAATTTTGCCTTCCTCCTTCGTGACGAGTGAGTTGGCTCTATGGTAAAGTGTATTGATGACCCCTAATTTATGTTGAAGAGGGTGGTTAGAGTAAATATTAAGGTATTGGTCAGTGTGTGTCGGATTCCTGTAGATTTTGATATTAATGCTACCATCATTCTGTATTACTGTAAGCGTGTCAAGAAAAGCCAGCGAACGGTTGACCTCGCCCTCTGTTGTGAATTTAATATCCGGGTCCAATGAATTCAGATGATCAGTAAATTCTTGAGCGTGAGCTTTCTTCAGTTTTGTGTGTGTGTCATCAACATATCTGTACCACCAAATTGGGGGATGAAGGGCAGTCAGTTGTTCCATATCTTCCATGTAAAGATTGCATACGACGGGGGATACCGGTGAGCCCATAGCCGCTCCACGGATTTGCTGGTAAAACGTGTATGTGCACCTCAGGCATACCTCCAAGAGCTTAATAATCTGTTGTGGTGTAACGGTGGTCCTATTACTAAGAGTAGGATCGTTTTGGAGTCGGGTGTGAATGATTTCCAACGATTTATCCACTGGAACTGACGTAAAGAGTGCTGTAACTTCATACGATCTTAACTCTTCATCCTCTTCAACTCTCTTGTTTTTTATTAGTTTTGAGAATTCTAAAGAATTGACCACATGATGAATTGAATTTCCAACTAAAGGTGAGAGAATTTCAGCCAAAAACTTTGCTGAACTGTAAGTGATCGAGTCAATACTACTGACGATCGGTCTTAATGGGATGTTTACTTTATGAATCTTGGGCAGACCATAAAATTTAGGAGGCATTTCAGTGGTGGGGTATAATTTCCGACACAAACTGCCAAAGATCTACGATCCGATTTTGGAGTCACGTGTTCGTAAGATCACGTGCCCAAAATCGGTGTAGCCTTCAAGTCACATTCCAGTCATTGTGCTGAGGAAGACCATGGCATACGGTCGAAAATTTCACGGTAAGGAAATTTGTTTGAGTTGTGATCAAAAGTTTAACCTTTTCGTACATTCAAATACCAACACAGATGAGCTATTATAATAATAATAATAATAATAATAATAATAATAATAATAATAATAATAATAAATAATTTTTGCTTATATAGCGCATTATGCTAAAGCCTCAGTGCGCTTAACAATAAAACTGAAAATGCATGAAGAAAAAGTTTAAGAAAAGTACAGGTTAAATATATTATACTGTCTAGTAATGTCATCTTTGCTGTAAGTGTAAATCTTGTACTTTATAAAAAGCTAAAAATAAGACTTAGGGACAGCTATGTTCATCTTTTGCACTCTATAAACCACAATAACTCGGACTCATAGACAAGCATAAGATAATCATGATCTAAGATGTCTTGGCTCATTTCTGGCAATTCGGTGAACGTGGAGAGGATAACTTAGTTTCTCAGTGGATTTATCTTCCTTGAGGGTTGAAAAAATGCAGGGGTGTCCCTCGTGGAAGTGTGGGACTAACCTGTAAGAGCCCTGAATCCAAAATGGCCGCCTTCCGCCATTTTAAGTATTTTTAAGTGTATTGGCCTACATGGCCGCTTTAGCCAATGGGTGTGAAGGTTTAGTACGTCCAGGAATTTACATCTGTTGTTGGATTCAATACAACCTTTATTCGAGTTTCGACCTAGTTTAGATATTCAAATTGAAGGGAGCTGCTAAGTGAGTGTGTGAAATTCCGGAGTTTAAGAACACGCAAAGTCAAAGTGACACATTGTAAAAAAAGAGATTGTTTGACCATTGATAGCCAACGTTTGTAACCTCTTGCACTTTGTATAGTTTTTAAAAGTCAGTAGCATTCTTGGATTTGAAGGTCAAACCTAAATTAATAGGACATCAAACACGAATCCTTGTATATTAACAACAGTACACTAGACTTTTATAATAATGAACTAAAAGCTTCATTTTTTATTAATCAAATGTTGACCTTTTACCTCACAGATGTCATTAGGAATATTTCTAGATTTAAACGTCAACACTAACACAATAGAAAATCAGATATGACTTCCTAGATATTAAAAATACAGTATTTTAAAATTTTTAACCAATGGGACTAAAAACTTCATTTTTACTCTATAAATGGATGTTATAATAATAATAATATTGATAATAATAAGGATATAACTTACTTTTATACCTTTCCGTCAACCTATCATCATAATGGGTCCAAGCTGGTTGCCACATTAGTAAGTCTGCATTCAACTTCGTTTGTATCCAAGATGTTTCCTTCACACTGGAAATGGTCGCAATATGTCCGCCAAGTGTTTGGCAAGTACTGTTTGCTGATAGATAGTCAGTATGTGTGTCTTGAGCCAAGTAATAGCAGCTCATAAAATCAGCGTTAAATTCCCATTCCATCGGACACTCTGTTAATTTTACAAGTTTGACCTGAGATTTTTCGAAGTTGAAAGTTGCTATGGTGTCTAAAAATGTGTTAACGTGAATTTCAAAAGTGTGCCTGACATATTGGAACGTGTTTCCGTTGAATTTTGCCCTTTCATAAACCCGCCGTGCCAACCCTGAGCCGCCATGCCTGAAACTAATTATAATAAAAGTAGGCCCTGAATAATGTTTAATTTTAAACCACACTAAATCGTAAAATTCAGAACAGTGCTGTCATTTTTTCGATTTTCTCATGAAACTAGTGCGAAGTTTTATAATTTTTATTTAGTTTGGTAAATTGTGGTTTTATAGAAATAATATTTGGGATTTGTCTGCCATAGTAAAGAAAATTATAATAATTTCACTACAATTATTCAGACTCAAAATTGAGTTTATGTGTGGAGGCAATACTCGTCATAGTTTAAAGAATTATTTTCAAAAACTCGGTCGCGTTTACGACGCAAAATTATAGCGCATGCGTAGAAACTACATAATTTTGGGAACTCGGTTCAGGGTTGGCACATTGTTTACAAAAGTTGTAATATGCGTTGTTATGACACTTATGGACAATTGTAGGTTTCTTATCTGGCACCCACAAACAAAATGTCTAGTAATTGTGGCCTAGGTTAGCCTAAATATAATACTTGGCTGCAGGCGTGTTGTTTCTTGTATTACTGTTTAGAATATTTTTGAAAACATAAGTGTACATAGGTCTAGGCAACTAGAAGCGGGATAGCCTTAAAGACATCCAGGTAGATTTATTATTATTCTTAATCTTGCAATATATAGTATAAATGTGGGTACAAGTTGTGGGTGCGAGTTGACATGGGTACGAGTTACCCCCCGTCGCCTGACGAACGACTAGGTCGTCGGACCAAATCGAAAATATTGTGGTCTAAAAGAACATTTAGGACCAAATTAAGCTATAAGAACTCTCCCCATTAAACCCTAAAGGCATGCTTATACTTGCAACGATAACGATAACGATAAAAAGCTAAAAAAACAATTGTTCATACAGAAAATAAAAGAAATAAGGAAAATTATTACAATAGGACGATTCGATAACGACTTGATCGTGTATAAAATAATTTAACGAATCAATTCAAATGACGTCATAATCATGGAAAAACGGTAAAACAATAATAATATGTCGTAGTAGTCAAAACGATAGTTTTTTCCATAATTATGACGTTATTTGAATTGATTTGTCAAAATATTTTGTTATCGTATACACGATAAGTCATTATCGAATCGTTCTAGGGTAAAAACTTCGGTTATTTCTTTTATTTTCTATATGAACAATTGCTTTTATCTTTTTATCGTTATCGTTATCGTTGCAAGTATAAACAGGCCTTTTATAGGGATTTTTTTTTTATTCCAGGCCGTCGACCGAGGCTTCGTCGACGCCTTGGTTCGGACCTCTTCGTCGGACACGTTGGACCCCTTGTCGGCAAATTTCCGGCGCAACCACTGATGCAAACTCGTACCCATGCCAACTCGTACCTACTTTGGCGAATCCATACCCGAATTTAGGTGAACTCGTACCCACCATTGGAGATCACGTACCCATGACTTTTGGCGAACTGGTAGCCAAATGTTTTCACATTTATTTATTTAATATAGTCCAAGATGCATAGGTCTGTTGCGTATGTTTTTCCCCCCTAAATTATGTCTTGATATATTTAATGATATTATTGGACACTGTAGTTATTTGTTTTTGTCTAGCTTGTCACGTACACTATGCTTCAATTATGATGTAATATCACGAACTCGTACCCAACTGTTTCCACGATTTAACTTTCTTAGTGCAATTAAATGGAATATAATAAAATAAAATATAGTTTTAATATAATTTATAATATACATACATGATAATGGCCGTTTAGGGATTCTTTTTACGTTTAATAAAGCAAAAAAAAAAAAAAAAATTAAAAAAATCGAGGCCTAATAATTATCACCATGACTAGTACTGGTTGCCTGGAAACTAACTACAAAACAATTCGGAAACAAATGAAATGATGGCATTTTCAAGCAGTATATTTTAAACAAAATTTTGACGAAAATATCCTAAACCCAAATATAGTTATTTAGTAACTGTTCCAACCAACCTTCACACTTTGAGAAACATACATCACCTAAACAAATAAAACAAAAACACCAACAATAATGTACCTTGCATTACAAAAGACTATGGAAATATATAAAATCATTTTTAATATCGTAAAGGCTTTATCAATAAGGTTCCACATATCATTAGTATTCTTTCTACTTAATTATGTTCAAAAAAGGTCAATGAAACATTTGTTGGAGTCTAGGGGAATATATTTCATATACTGTACAGTTTTTAAATTATATTGAGAATATTATAATAGTGTAGACTACCACGAGTAATAAAGTGATAGCATGACTTGAGAAGTAATTGAACGATTACGATTAAGTATTTTAAACATTACTGTAAACACTCACAATAATAAAGATTTCTAATCTTAAACAATGTGACACATACCCTGACATCTTTACAATGGTCACTGGTCACTGAGGAGGAAGATAAAATCATGGCCTTGGAAAAATATGGTCACCCTTTCAGTATGTGTGTGTGGGTGTGTACAGGCGGGGGTGTGTGTGTAGGTGTGAGGGTGGGTGTGTGTTGGAGTAGGTGTGAGGGTGGGTGTGTGTGTGAGTACAAACGTGTGCAAAATTTGCTGTCGCCGATGCACGCATCCCCACCCACCTGTAGGAATCCAACTGCTATATTTGTTAATAGAGGTTCTATTCTGCCCTCCTCTGAGAAAAGGCATTAAGTAACAAAAATGAGAGTTTTGAGTAAATGAGCAGAATACGTTTGGGTTTTCACAAGAAAAGTACTAATGATTTAAAAAATTTTAAACTATGGTTTGTTTAAATAATATATTACTAAAATTTTGCCACATACTTTTCATTAATTTTTTTTTTCTTAAGGGGCGAAAATGGAGATAATGCCTTTTATTTTGAGTATTTATGACTATAAATGTTGATAAATACTTTTTGAAGTCGGGGAATATCTGCAAAAATTATTTATACACATACATAAATAATTAATTTATTTAAATGTATGTATATGAATCTAATCTATATATTCATAACATATATTGTATTAATATGTTACTCCAAAAAATTAAATTTAATATTAAAAAATATTAAAATAGTTGAAAGCTGCAAAATCTTCTATCCAATGTTTTAAAACTCAAGTATAATTCAAATCATTCAAAGTTGGCATTATAAAATGCTGGAGTTAATTGTGTACACGAGGAAATTGCGGTGTGGGGGATAGGGCTTTAATGGTGATGGAGCCGGTGG